CTTTAATGTGAGCGTGCCTGGTGCGGCAGGGACAGCCGGGACGTGGCCCCAGGGGCTGGTTTCCCGCCTGTGAGGGTGGGATCAGTTTGCAAACACAGTTACAACCCCAGCAGGCAGCAACGTAGGGATCAGGCATGCAGTGCACTGTGAGGTGCTGAACGAGTGCCTGGGAAATAGCAGGTAAGGGTTACGAGAGGTGCTGGGGAAAGGGCACGGCGGGAGCACAATCTGCAATGCAGAAGAGAGCTCTGCATCACCTCTCCTATGAGGTGGCAGATTAATCAGGAGTCACAGAGTGTATTTGTAACCTGCCTGGCAACCCAGCAGCACTTCTCACACTCAACTCTACTCAGCTCTTCCTCCACACCTGAAATACCAGCATAACTTTAGAGGTCCCTTGTTAGAAGTGGGTCCTTGTCTGGGAGGAGAAGACACTGGAGCAAGGATTTTGTGAGGGACAGGCAGCAGAGCCACACACTCCTGTGTGTGTCTGTAGGGAGTGAGAACTGGTGTCTGGGGAGGTCTCTATTCCTGTACTTCTAGCTGTGATGAGGGAGGTATTTCAGGGAAGGAGGTAAGTTTTCCTATTTGCCTTTCTCAGATCCTTCATTTCTACCTTTCCTCTACCACTGTTGACATTTAAAGTTTCCTCCTGGAGCCCAGATGTTAGCAGGTGGACCAACACCTCAGTCCTGCCCTTTCAAACTCTCTGAAGACTCCAACAGGTTTACATCCATGCGGTTTCTTCTCCCTTTTGCTTGAAAGAAACAGATGGTGACTTTTTTATCTACATATCCAGCTTAGATGGCAGAGAATATAGAAAATGTACAGACTGCCAGCTTCTCCCTCCAGATCCCTTTGAGAGGCTTTGGGAGGTGTTGAATGCACACAGCCTGGCTCACTTTCTCACTGGGTTTCAGGATAGTAAAGCTGTGAGTAGAATAAGACATGGAAAAACAGTACTTTCCCACCTGTTGGGATGAAGCCTTCCTGTTCTGCTTTGCCCATATGTGTCAGATTTAACCACAAATAAGCCCTACAAATGCTTTTTTTGCCAAAGCATTTTCTAGAGATGCAAACAAAACATGTAATTCACTCTTCCCACCTCAGCTCCACTGCAATTACTCCTGTTGCCCTGGATTTTTTTATTTGGGAAATGTTCCCCTTTCTTTCAGGAAGCAAGCTTTTCATGCTGGATAATTTTGTGCCTGCCTTCAGCCTCTAAAGTCCTTTGAACAAGCCAAGCTGCCCATGAGATGGTGCCACATGCAGAGTTAAAACCCCACTTTGCTTACCAGAGACAGCAGATAGGGAACAGTCTTCCCAGGCACTGCACTTAATGTGGCATATTTATTATGTCTATTATTATTATAATCTGGACTTCTTCAGCTTTGGGAGCATGAATAATACAGCATCCAAAAAAAACCACTTTTAAAAAGGTGTTTTTATATATAGATAGATAAAGATAGCTCGCTCTGATTCATCTGCTAAAAATTGCTGCTGTTCCTTGTTTGTTTGTTTTGTTCAAGTAGAAATCGCTGGGCCAGAGGAATGCCAGGAATGGGAATATAGGATAAGCCTATATTTCACAACTTCTTGTCATGCAGGGAGGTTGCTGTCACAGCTTTGATACAAGTATGGAATTTGCTTGGAAATGAAGTCGCTGTTGCAGGGTGTAGTGCAGAAGCTGAGCACAGCCAGGCAGGGAGGCAGGGAAGAGCATCTGGCCCATACAGGGATGAGTGAAGGTCAGCATGCCTCATCCGTGGGAAGGCTGCAGAAACTGGGACAGGAACTGTGCAGCCCCCATGAGCTCGCATCTGGATAGGGACGTGGATGTCACCCTGCACAGTTAAAATTTGCATGGTTTGAAGAAGTCCTGTGGAGACGGTTTTACCTTGTGCCATATGAGGGCGTAGATCTTTGTGCTTATTCTGCTGACGGTGTGTGGTGGTTTCTCTGGTGGGGGTCAGGGTTTGGTGTCAGTAGCCAGCACAGAAGACAGACACAAAAAACCACCTTAAGGCTGTAAAAATTACCCTTGGGCAAACAAATGTCTTGCTCAAAAGTGCAGATGGAGGTATTGCTGCTGGAGCTGCGCCTCCTGACGACATTTTCTGCCAACTTCTGAATAGCTCTTGGCCAGGGCAAGACACAAAGCCTTCCTAAGCCACAGCCCACTGCACAGGGATAAACTCCTATGCTGGTCTCCACCCCTGCAGCTCTATTTGCACCTGACAGTTGTTGCCACATCCACAGCCTGTTGCCTCCATGTCCCTTATGTGCTGCCAAGGAGGACAAGCAGCCAGCGGTGGAGCTGGGAACCGAGTCAGATCTCCAGGCCTGGTGTAGCACCTGGGCTTCACCTCATGTAGAGACCCTGGGATACGGTCCCAGACACAGACAGGAATCAAGACTGTCTGCTCTGGGCATTGCTAGCACCGTGTCAGGGCAGTTTTTCAGCTCTGCACGGACACCAGCATTATCAAAGACAAGTCCCAGTAGTCAGTTGGATCCTGCCTTGGTGGAAATAAAACACCAGTGCTTTGACTGTAGTTACATAGGGAATAAGCCATAAAATAAAAATACCAAGGAAATAGCTGAAACAAACCCTCGACATCCATCACGAGGGACAAGATCTTTCTTGACCCACTAAAAAATTATTTGTTTTTTTTTCCCAGGGGCCAAACCACCGCTCTTCTGCATGAGATATGTGTTTCATTGGATATGTATGTATCCCTAAATTTAATTTGTCCAATTGCATTAGGACAAGCAGCTAATTCTAAAATTCATTTTGCTCCTATAATCAACCCCTCTGCCAAATGGCATTTGGGTGGAATTGTGGAGATTGTGATTTTTATTTAAAGTGATTTATTGAAATCATTAGCAATGTTCCCTAAGTGGAATCCATGGCAATCCTTTTAATCTTCCCCCCATCACAGTAAATGCAAACATTTTTTTTAATAACAGAGAGTTTGAAATATAAGGTTATTAAAATCTACACTTCTATATTTCTTCGTGCTCTCTCCCTCTGTAATGGGATGGGAACCATAATTGTGGAAATAAAGCCTCCCTTTCAGACCTGAGATGCAGAGAGTGTATAATGAACAGTTAAGCATCTATTTAGTCACTTTGAATTGATGAGGGTGTTAATGAAAATGAAAGGAGCCAACTTTCCTTCCGCTCCAGGGAAACACAAAAGGTGGAGGGGTATTTTTGCGGTATTACCCTCAGCCCCTTTAATGAAGTCAGTGCCTGCAGCAGAACTCTGAGCTTCCCCAAGTGCTTTTCCAGCCTTTTCCCAGAAGTGCTCAGTGGAGGTGTAGGAAACCAAGGGGGTCTGCCCTGTGTCCCACTGGAGCGAGGTGTGGGCTGATGCCACCAGCTGTCCCCAGGCATGCAGACAGCTGCCACTTTTGCCCCCAGTTTCCCTGATTAATCTCCCCATGCACAAACAGCTTTACAAATCTTTTGCCCCAAATCACTCGGCTCCATTCCCTCCTGGGAATAAAAAGGCACAGCCTGGTGGGATCCTGCCTAGGATTGTCGCATCCCAGAGCCAGGCACAGGGATGGCTCAGCCTGGACCAGATTCTCTCCTCTTCCCTCTGGTTGATGCACTGGTGCCATGGCAACTGCTAACACCAAACAACCACTGTGAAATTACAGTTTCAGAGCAGCTTCAGTCCCCAAGGACCAGTGGGCATGTCCCAGGGGTTGTCCTCTCCTCCTGGGAACCCCAGCCAAAGGAGGCACCTCTGGAGCAGGGCAAAGCCAGCCTGCACTGCATTATCCTTGCATAGATCCCAGAACTCAGTTTGCATTGAAAAGTTTTTATAAAAAATAATCTTGCCATGTTTTCCCTCTTGGAAGGATAAAATCTGGTGAGAGGACTCAGAGTCTGAGAGAGGAGCCATTTGCCCTTAGCTCCTGACTCCTGCCCTGGCCCTCAAAACATCCCCATGGCTTCATGGTCTGGAGGCAGAGGGGCCACTTCAACCATGATAGTGGGGCAGGGGACATTAGGACATGTCCCATTGCAGGATATGTATCCATGCAGCTGTCCAGATGTCTTTCTGTAACCAGTCACAGCTCGGTTACTTGTGAGAAGAAATTTTAAGATGCTGTTAAATGTTCCTGGGAGCCAGAAGTCACTGTGACGTGGCCCACACACACTCCACAGAGAGCAGAAAAGCTTTTCCCTCCACATCTTCTTTGCTCCTGGGCTGTACAATCTGTCCATCACAAACCTAAGCCCTGGTGATTTTATCGTATGGGAGAGATGTTGCCATTTTATTCTATACTCTTCCAACCCCCAGGCAGCTGGCAGGATTGCTGCTGGCTGGTAACACACACAGACAGACACACACGAAAAGTTAATCTTTTGCTATTATTTCTCAGAAGCTCCATTTGGCTGTATTCAGGCCTAATGTGGTGATCTCCTTGCCCTCATGACAGCTGTTTCTTACATGGGGAAGCAGTACGGAAAAAAAAAAAAGGCAGAAGTGAAAAATGGAGCTGTGATTTATTTTCACCTCTGAATATAGAAAGGCAATTTCCCCCTCTCTAAGATGTCCTCTTCCTCCTCTTTAATTAAGTCCCAGTGCCTTCAAACCAAGCCAGAACCCCACTGAAATCCCATGCCAATGCAGATGAGATGTGTTTGTAGGGAACATGAACCAGTTTAAGACCATTATCAAGGTGACCAAGGACGGGCTGGCTCTTACCAGTTGACACAGACAGCTAACCTGGGAGGGGAGAGGGTGAGGGAGCTCAGCGCCAAACCCTCCGGCCTTTCTGCAAACCAGGCATCCCTCTGATGCCAAAACTTTGCTGGGTGGAGGCTGCAGGAGGGGAAGCAGGGCTGTGGGGAGCACCACTCTTCTGGGATGCTGGCGGTGGGATTGATGATGTCCTCCCTCCTCCCGGCAGCGCCCGCGATTTGATTTCTCCCTGCCGGCGGCACAGCTCCCAGACAAAGGCTGTGCTCAGCGCGGGCGGGCTGCACCTGCGGGTACCCCCGCGCCCCCACACGCACGCTCCGGCTGTTCCCCGCCCTGCCCTCCACCTCTCCGAGAAGATCCAGCAGACGGATCAAAGCTCGTCTTTTTGCCATCGAAAGGATTAACTCCCCGGGGAGCAGCGGCGGAGGCTGAGCCTACGCTCCCGCCACGCATCGCCTGCTGCACGGCGCACTTAGGAGTTGTGGAGCCAACCTCTCGGCAGCTAATCCCCCTCCCTGCTGGAGCCGGGGCGGCTGGGGAGAGCGAGCCGGGCTGCAGGGCGAAGGGACAGGAGGGGAAGAGGACGGGGAGGAGTGCACACACACACACACACACACACACACACGCAGGCGTGCCCGCACTCCCCGCAGACGGCGGGCAGCGGCACCGCATCGGGGGCTGCGTGCGGGGAGCTCCGTGGGGAGCCGAGCGCTGAATAAAACAAGCTGGAGCATCAGGCGAGGGGATCTGTTCGCTTGGAAAAGTCTTTAAGGTAAATAAAACCCGAGAGCGGCAGCTTCTGGGCTGGGCTGCCCTCCGCGGACCGTGTGCTGGGCTCATTGCTGGCGGGGCCGTGGTCTCTGATTATGGGTTTTGTTTTTAAAGGAATCGATCGGGAGATGCCGGCAAAAGAAGTTGGTGAAAGCCGGGCTGGAAGGGCCGGGAGCTGCGCGCCGCCGGCTCCATCACACGCCGGGAGCAGCTGAACTTTGTGGGGTTTGAATCTCTGTTTCTGTTCTGCGAACGCTTCGGGAGAGTCACAGCGCGGCATCGCACACCTTGCGCCTGACCGAGCCTGGGGAGCAGCAAAGGGGGGATTTCTGTCTCTCCGAGGACCATCGCCTGTAAAAAAAAAAAAAAAAAAAAAAGCTGGAGAAAGGCAATTTATCTTTCTTTTCCAGATGACTGAAAACATCCAGAGGATCCTGTCTCTCCGATTTTCATCAGTGAGTAGCATCAGGGAGAGACGGCTGAGGAACAAAAATGATATCAGTCAAAATCATTCCAACATCTACTTTTTCCTAAGGAACTTCATGCCCATAGGGGTTTTCTATGGGCATTTCCAGGAGTGAGACTGAGGTACCACAGATGCATCCCTACTGAATCATGTAAGAATTTTCAAATTAAAAACCTACCCCGTCAAGACCTTCTCTGCCCGGTTTGCAGTACATGGTTTGGTGTAAGTACAGCAATTCTCGCCTCTTTCTCTCCTTTTTAAGTCTCTTGAGCTTGGAGATCTCTTTCCTCGTTGCAATTATGATTATTTGCAACATCAGTGCCATCAAAGATTGGAGCACTTTCCTCTCCCAGATCCTCCCCAGCGTTAACAAGACTCTGAACTTGGTACAGCAAGTGGAAGCCACCACCAGCTCGGTGGTAAGTGTCCTCCAGGACCCTGAGCAGGACAACTACCTGTCCAATAGCCAGTCCATGAACTCCAGCAACTTCACAGCTGGCCTGGACCACTTGTTCCAATACTCATACTCGGACAATGACCAGCTCTACAAGGAGTACAAACCCCCTCCTCGAGATGCCATTCCTCTGCCCAAGGCTGTCCTCTACCTTCTCATGGCAGCCCTGGTGGTGGTGGCAGTGGCGTACGCCATCGTCGGGCATCTCATCAAAGACCTCATTTACGACTTTGTAGGTGAGTGCAGGCTTCACACGTTGTGTGCATGTGGCCAAAAAAAGCCTGGTGCAAAGCCTGGAAGTGCTGGCTCGCATCTCCACTTTGATTTGGATGGGGTTTAGACCAATCCTTGACCCTCTCACATTTGGAAGACAGTTAATTTAATGTTCTGAGTTCTCCAAATTGAGGTGTACGTTGACCACCTTCCTAGAGAAAATCCTTGGGTTTAGCCCCCTTCCTAAAGAAACAAAGCTTGTGCGTGCGTGCGTGTGTATAAATGTGTATGTGCGTGAGTCTGTGTTGCCAAATGACTGTAAAATCCTTTGGCCAGTTTCAACTAAGCTTGGATTAGAGGTCTCCAACATGAAAAGTTTCATGGCAACAAATAGCTGAACACAGGATAACAACCCACTAGTGCATTATGAAAGAAAAGCTGCCATATGAGCTTAACCCCTTATTAGACACCAGTGAATCCACAAACTCCTAGGAAACACAGCTCAGCAGTCTGGCTCCCTTGTACAGCCCCTAGCATAGCCATCACAGCCTCTGCAACAAATCTATGAAAAGATAGCTCAAAGAGTGTGCGTTTTTGTGAGGTTTGGCTTCCTGGCTCTTTGGTTTCATCCTGTTGCTGATGAACACGGTCCCTCACTGTCGGGGACAGGAGTGCAAACACTCTGCTGGCTGCTGTGGTCAGGCTGTGGTGTAGGCAGAGGTGCAGATAGAGGTGCTTTGCTGCTTATGGCAAGCCCTCAGTGATTTTGCCCTGTAATTTGTAAGGCTGGTCATGCTGGGGAGTGCAAATGTGCCTGATTCCCTTCTTAATCCTCAGTACTTTTGGCCCCAACAGCCAGCTCACCATGTCCTTTTGGGGGTCAGGGCCTTGGTGCAGGGTGCTGGTGACAGCTTTCCAGCTTGTATGGGGGGCCAGGAGGGATACCGAGAGGGGTTTAAGCTCCTGGCTCACAGAAGTGCCTACCCTGCAAAAGCTGTGGGGAGCAATGTCCTCCTCAGGGGAGCAGAGCTGAAATCCCTTTGCACACCCTTGCTCTGAGCCATGGACGAAGCCCTGCAGGCTCCATCTCTGCAGTGGGAGTTCACGCTCATCTGGAACAAAATCCACATGTTCATCCTTGAATCCCTTTATTTCCCTGCTCCTGGGACATGGGAGACACACACCAGCCAAAACTCCATCGGTGCCTGTGGGGCGTGCGGCACCCATGGCTTGCTGATGGGAGGGCAAGCCAAGTCCCTTGGGGAGAGGGTAATGACCAGGCAGGGGCTGGCAGATCCAGGACACAGGGATTTAGGGAGGGGGTATTTGGGACAAGAAAGGTCAAACCTCCTGGCAGGGTACAGTACTTGGGATCTCACATGAAGCTCAGACAGGAAAACGGCAGGGAGCAGCTGCTGAGGAGTCTTTCTTCGCCCCAGATGGAGGGGAACGGATAAATTGTCTTAAGTGTTAAATTTAACACTTAATCAGCAGCTTTCTGGGGCTGTAACATCACCCAGTTCTGCCACTCATCTGATTTAGAGGTGCCTTCCCAACAAAGATAGGCAGTGGGGACAGCACCTAAAAATACACATGCTGCTGCCCCAAGGTGCTCAAAGGACCAGGTCAGGCCAGGTCAGAAACTGCCCCAAAGTGGGGGCTGGTCCAGCCGCAGTGCCCCCGCAGAGCAGGCACCCCTGCCCCAACTGCTGCGGTCCTTGATGCAGGAGAGCACAGATGTGAGTGCTCAAACCCGCCCCTTGGTTGGGTACTGCAAAGTAGGGCCAAAATTGGTACAAATGCCATGCCCCTATGGGCAGTGAGGGAGGCTGCAGCCACGGTCCGGGACACCCGTGCCCCTGACTGTGCTATTTCCAACTCAGCAGCAATGCTCCCTGGTGACCTTTAGCTTCAGCCTCTGCGTGGGACGAGGTCACCGGGGTGCCCCTTCCTCGCTAAGCCTTTTGCAAAGGGGCTTCCACAGCCTTTCACAGCACCACGGCCATCGCAGGGCTGGGCAGGCACAGGGACAGCCCCGGGGTCTGCCCGCTCCCCGCCACTTCAGAAGAAGCCCTTTCCCAGTTCAGCGCCCTGGCTGAGGGCAGAGCATTCTCTCCCTGCCCACGGTGGAGGTAACACCTCTCCAAGTTAGGGTCAGAAATCCGGAGGTGAGCTTCTTCCCCATCCAGGCAGAGAGGAAAAGGCGTTTCCAGAACTCCAGCAGCACCCCTCAGTGCCGAAGGCTGCCTCCAGCTCATCCTAGTTAGCACTCCGGGCCTGTCTTCCCACAGCTGATACGCTTAAAATGAGCCAGTCCTCGGAGGAGAGCGGACGAGCCTGTGTTTGTTAACACTGCCAAGGAACAGCCTTTAAAGAGAAGGTTTCATTTGAATGAGTTTGCATAAAATTACTTTAGGGACAGGACAGAGGGACCAAGGGATAGTAAATAAGAAGCTGGCCTATTAGCTGCCTTTAACACAATGCCTGGATTTATATACTCGGCAGCAGCTCCAACCTCTGCTATCAGTGTTTCTGCACTAACCATATTTAGAAGGATACAGAGAGAGATGGAAATAAGATGCCAAAGGGCTGGAGCCTGTTTCAGGGAGATTAAAGTGTGAATAGTTAATCGCTACTTTAAAGAGTCACTTGGAAGCATCAAGGATGATTTTGACTCCTCAATAACAGCTTGTCAGACATGGCTTGGGAAGTCAAAGCATCACCCAGCCCTGTGCACTCACAAGGACTGTGAGAAGCAGGCATTGGGCTTGGTTTGGGATGGCAAAGGGGTTCTCGGGATGCTGCCAAGCTCTTCCCCTGTGAAATCTGAACAGGTATTAGAGACACTGACACATCTCTTGCAGATGCTTCTTAAAAAATCAATTAGAGCTTGCCCAGGCATCCCCAGGGGGAGATGAACAGTGCTGCGATGTCCAGGAGGGTGGGGAGGAGTGGAAAATGGGAGGCTGCGTTGGAGGAGGGGGAAAGATGCATTGTCAGAGAGGAGGAAGGCAGAGCACCTGGATATGGATAAGAGGGCTCTGAAAGAGACCCTCTTCAGCTCTTCCTGGAGAGACCTGACCAAGGATAGCCCAAAATACTTTAATTTCTCTCTGATCCCTCTCCACTTCCTCTGAGCTGACGAAGTCTCATGTTTGACACTCTCCCAAAACTCATCAGACGTCTCTGCTTGGGGATGGATGCGAGCCCCCTGATGAGGTAGAAGGGCTCCTGCGTGAGTGCAGCTCAGACCCAACCACCAGTTAAGGCAAATTGGGTCGAAGCATTTGGAAAGCTGCTTAACTCAGAAGCGCTGGAGAGCTGCCAGAGCCGGCGCTGCGGCGAAGAGCCGGCTTGGCAAATGACAAGCCTGTCACCAACGTACGAAGCGCCTAATTACTGCAATCCTTGGGAATCAGCCCGCCCTCCCTCCTCCGTCCCCAGCAGTTCACTGAATAGCACCCTTATTTAAACATAAAACAGGAGGAAAAAGGGTAAAAAATAAAAAGTTTGACTGGAAACAAAGCTGTTGCTATGGAGACTTCACGCTTGTGGTCCCCAGGAAAGGGGAAAGCATCTCGCTCCTGCGCGGGAACCACATGGGAAGGGTCTGATGGTCTGCGTGGGAGCGATGCTTCACAGGGAGACCTTCGCTGGTGTCACCCGAGGTGACAGCCGAGGTCTCCTATGAGCTGCTGATCTCCAGAGGAGACCTTGGAGGAAACTTTTCCTTTGGGAATGGGCCCAAGGCAGATGCCCAGCTGGGGCAAAGCAGGGCGGGTTCACCGACGCCGGTGGGACTGTGCTGGTCAATGCTGTGAGACTGCTCAAAGCCCTGCGCCATTCTTGGAGCGGGGTCTTTCTTTTCTTTGCCCTTTTGACCCACCGGCTGTATTTTTATTTTTCATCCTTATCTCTAACTGCCACATTTCAGGCTTCTTTAGGAAACGGTCTCCTTGAACAAAGAAACTGTGCATGAATGTAACATTGCTGAAAATAGCTGCTGGGTGATCCTGCAGGGACTTGGGATCCACTTTTAATTGCTCCACACAGAACTGCAGGGCTCTTAGGATAATTCAGCCTATGGCAGGGATTGCAGACAGCATCTTAGACCCATCAGAGAGGACTTACATGTCTTCTTTTCAGGCTCTATTTTGAGGATGATTCCTTTGCTTCCCAAAGTTGTGGGAAAAGAAGATACCACATCATATTCCCCTCTGTTTCTCCATCTCAGTGCTAACCCACCTCTGACACTAACACCCCACCTCAGTTTCCCTTCTGGTGCATGAGGGTATATCAGGGGTTCCTGAGCTGCTGTTTATGGGTGCCGATGTCTAGCAGTGGCTGCTGTAGGGTGGCTTTCACTGGGTTAGTTCCCACTCCCATGGGAGTGTACTAACTGCCTGTACTAACAGGCAGATGCCCTATCCCCGCATCCACTCTGGCATTGCCGTGGCCACAGGCTGCAGCTGTTGGCCAAACAAGTGGCTGCAGTGGCCTTGCCCTGCAAAAAGAAGGGAGAAGTGGCCCCACTCTAGGATAGCTGCATTTGCAGCCAAAGCTTTGAAGCACAAAGCCGTAGCAGTGGAACGGCTTCCAGCATGTGCTGCTGGGGATCCAGGGCCATCCAAGGCTGGCCCCAGGGATGCACCATCCCACAGCACCATTTCCATCCCTGCCATCGTGTGGTCCAGTGGTGGGCTGTCAGGTCTCTGGGGAATGACTGTGCCTTTCTACTCGTCTGCAAGCACTGGTCTTTCTTGAGCTGAGAGCAACCACAACTCCTCCTCACTCTCTGGCCGTCCTCACTCTGCCTCTGGGGAGAACATCTAAGACTGGAAGATAAGGAGAGCAAACATCCACTCCCAGGAGCACGCCTGCCTCCCAGCTACCACACCTGATCATCACCTCTCTGAGACCCACTCTCTGGAGCAGCAATGCTGCCCGATGGATGGGACTGGGATCAAATTCAGGCTTGGTCCAGGGTTGTTCTGGTGCAGAGAAGCTGTTTTTAAGAGAATATCACAATGGAATGCCTTTTCCGTGTCACGCCCTTTCCCCACCAGACGCTTCATGCCAGTGACAGCTCTGCAGAGAGACAATGTCCTTACCTGTCTATCAGCAAAGCAGTGTGCTCATGTTGCTTGGGGTGCAGGACAATTTTGACTCAGCCAGCACAGCAAAGCTAACAAATTTCTTCAAAAGGGGGAAGGAAGAACAGACCCCGACAGCAAGTTCATTTAGAAAGATGTGAATCTGGGGGGAAGGGGGCTTTCTAACAAATTACTGTGGCAAGGGGCAGACAAAGGTTTTCCAATAGAACAAACCTGGGAGTTATCTGCTGATTTTGGTAATGAATAAGTAGAGCCTGTCCTGCAAATGAGACAGATACGATGTCCAGCTGCGAATGCTGCATCCTGTCAAACTCATGAGGGATACCCTTGAACTCCAGTCCATCGGGAACGCTTTGGCCAGAGCTGGTCCAGCCTTGCTGCAGAGCACAGTGTGATTGCTGGGTCAGGACTTGTGTCAAAGAAAAAGGAGCTTCTGCTCCTGCTGCTGGGAAAAGGGCTTTTTTAGCAGCTGCTTTCACACCCAGCTCCATTTAAAGCAAAATTAGAGCACGAATTTGATTGTTCATTGAACATGCTACCCCTTCCTTTCCTTGTTTCCATCTCTGCAGGGACTGTGGATGTCTCACTCACCATTTAAATTTTAGCCCTTTCTCCCATCTGCCTCTGCTCTTCTGCTGGGGATGTCTCTTTTTCAGTGGCTGAAGTGCCTCGTGGACATCCCACCCTGTCACCAATGAATGCAGGGGACCCGGACACCCCTACTGGGATGAGACTGGGGGTAGAGCATCCCTGTGCTCCTCTGCACACAAACAGCAGGAAGCTGCTCCCTGCTGCCTGCATTGTAAGGGTTTTCCAAGTGAGGACCATCCTTCATGCTGCTGGTACAAGGAGGGCACACTGTGACATCTGGGCAACCCCAGTGTGTTTTTCTGCCCCAAAAAATGCAGCACATCTCAAGGGTCTGCTTCCAGGGGTGCTGTCAAAGGCTCTGACAGAGCCAGGGAAGTGTAGAGGAGCTTTGTGCCACATTACTCTGCTACTTAGGGATAATAATAATAGAGTTGCTATTCCACAACTCCTGATTTGCCCAATCTGCTCTATCTTGTCTCTCCAGCTGCTTTGGATCAATCCCTCCGTATCGATCTCACCCCACCTCAGCACTTCCCACCTCTCCATTCGCCCCGCAGACCTCAGCAGGCACACTGAGCCTTGGCAGCTCCTGAGGAGCAAGGAGAGGCGTCTCTCGGTCAGATGCTGCTCCCCCAGCCTGGCTGAGAAAGTCACTTTGTCCCTTTCTTTTATCCAAGACATTGACAGACATGCCCGCGTGCATGCCCTGGATTTTGCAGCACGTGTTATGAGCTCCTTCCAGTGGCTGGGTAGGGGCAGGAAATGCTTTTTCTTATCTCCAGAATGCAACTGTCCTGGGTCCAGAGGTGCCTCTGCCCCAGGAGTGGGCACTGTGTGGTCCCTGCTCACTCCAGCTTTGCCCTTGGGTGTCCCAGGACCATTGGGTGTCCTGGCTTAGCCTGATTTTGCTTGCCTTCTTGCTGGAGATTGCGTGAACACATATGTGGACTTTGATCCAAAAGAGGATTTTGTTTTCCTCTCAGTGGCAATTGTGTCTATTTTTTGTTGCTTATTCAGCCCCCCCGCCACATGCAAGAGATAGAGAGAGAAATACCTGACATGATGTTAAGGGCTACAGCTACCTTCAGCTGTCACCACCATGCCTTGGCTCCCAGCCCTTCACCACCCTCCATTACCCCATTACATCTCCCCTCGGGTTCATTATCCGAGGTTTACATCATGTGCTTGTGCATGACGTGAGGTTGTGCATCCCATCCCCTGCAAAGGCCCTTCTGCATCAGAGCAAGGTTTAATGCCATTGATGCCAGAGATGTGCAGGTCTCCTCTCTCTTCTCCGTCACTCCTCCCCAGACATCCCACAGGGGAACCTGTGAGACCTTGGTTTCTCACCCACAAACTGAGAGGAGCCACAGGGTGAAACTGGGGAGGAGCATGCATGGCTGGGACAGATCCAGCAGTGGCTGGCAGGGGAGATGAGGGTGCTGACATTTTTATGGTTGTTTGTCCAGGGTCCTGCTGGCAGGAGATTCTCTGCCAGCTCCACGGGGCCTCGCTCCCCTCTTCCACACATGGCAACACGCTGAAGTTACAGGCCATAAATGGCCACAAATAACGTGTAATTGTGTAATTACTTCACTCCTTACTTACACAGTCAAATCATAAAGGCATCGCAGTAAATACCCTCTAATGACAGCCTAATTACATCTTCCTGCAGATTACTGGGTAATTAGATCCAGCAGGCTCCAGAAATAATTCCCAGGGAAGCAGTGGTTCGGATTAGCGCGTACAATCCAGCCTGCTCTTACCCAGGAATTAGACTGTGGCAGCCTCACACAAGCCACCTTCCCCAGGCACCCTGGTCAGCCACATTCCCTTTGGTGACGGTGCATTGTGACCCTTTTCCCATAGAAATGGCTTTTGCTGGTCCCCTTGGTGCTCTTCCAAAACACCCATCCCCTGCATTTCTGCCTTTATCACAGTGCTGCATCCAGCTCCAGCTTCTTCTGCTGCCTGCAAATGTCCCCAAGGTTTCCTCATTTGGCCACCAAGTGCCACTCCCCCTCACTCACAGGCATCCAATACTGAGCTCTTTGCTTCCTATTGCTCACAGCAATCCTCATCCAGTGGCTCCCAGGATATTTGGGGACCCATAGCCCCTTTTCCTACAGGTTATTCACCTTCTTCCTTGCTGGACCAGCCCCTGCTCCCACTGGAGTTTTACAGCTGACATCAAGGAAAGCAAGCTGAGACCTTTAATAGTATCTGTAGGAGGCAATCTTGTTACTGCCTTTGGATTCTCCTCACAGCAAGTGTCTGTGCGGGGGCTGGAGGAGCCTGGAAGGTCTTGGGGGCAAGAGGCTGGGGCTCTGTCTGGTCTGGACCCAGCCCAGGCTGCAGGGCCAGACCAGGAAGAAGATGGTGGAGTGTTTGGCTTTAGTCTAAATCCAGTAAAGCCAAGCAAAATCGAAGCTACAAAGGAAAAAAATACCTAAATGAGCCTTTTGGGCTTGGGTGATTTCCTTGGGGAAGTGTTGTAACGGGGAGCCCAGGCTCTGGCTGGGGCTGTGGATCATGCAAGTGAAAGCTAAATGCCCTGGTTGGGACTTGGGGCAGACCCAGGACTCCCCAAAAACCTTTGGACCACATCTTTGCTGAGATTCGCAATCACTCTTGCCAGCACTGTGGTAGCTGAGGGAACTGTGGTGGTTCTTCTCCTGTCATTCCTGTCACACAACCAGCAGACCCTGCTAGCGCACTTACAGAAGTAAAGAAAAAGGAAAACCAAGAAAAAACAGTCACTCTCTGGACATGTTACCTTTGCCCAGTGTGGTGGGAACATTATCCTCCTTGGAGCCAGCAAATTTGACCTACAGTGCACACACCAAGTGCAGAAAGAACCACAGGTCATTCTCGTCTCTCTTCTCACACCTGTGGAAATGTCTGGACACCACTGGCGAGCTGAGAAATTAGATCTTTCATTCCCTTCACACTTGATGGCATTTGCCATCATTCAGCCTCAATTTTGCTGCAAAACATTTTTCTGCAGCCCATGAGAAAGGCAACGTCTCACTGGGAGTGCATTTCTCTGTCCCTGCTTCACCAGGCAGCCCCCATCCTCCACCAAAGAGCTGCAGCTGAAATGCCCTATGGGGACAGAAAATACCCCATGCCACAGAGGAGAGAAATGCTATTTCTTGAGAGCAATCCATTGGCAAATAAGTGGAGTCCCTCAGAAAAAGCTAAACCAGGCTGGCCCTTTTGTCTGCCTCCTGGCAGCTATCTCTGCTTTATTTTGGGAGCAGGGCTAAACCAGGGGGGTGTTGATGCTCCACTGCCCACCACCACCACGTTCTAGGGTTTGAAGCCCTGGTGTGGCTGTGATACACTCTCAAGGCAGAAAAGCCATGTCCCTAGCCATACCTCCGGCCCAATTTGGATGTCACATAGTTATTTAATTGTCCCCTCTGTTTCTGACAGCAAAAACACACTGTAGGAAATACATTGCTGGAGAGCCCAGATGCACACTTCATAGGCACATCATTCCCATTTTTGGGATTAGCAGAGTGATTTCATTTGCCTAAGCTGGGAGGGTTTCCAGAAACCAGCAGCCTGAAAACCTGCCCAGAGCTTGGAAGAGCAGAGACTGCAACTCCACAGGAGCAGAAGGGGCTGAAAGGGCAGTGGTGGGCAAGGGACCCTCCTGGGAGGGCGAGAACCCAGAGTGAGAGGTAGGATGTAGCAGGAGGCAGCAATTTTCCAGCCATCTTGGGATGTGGGAACAGCCAGAGGTAATCAGGGGCTTGTTTTGTGCTTTTCCCTCCTCCAGACTGGATCTTTGGCCCCAACCCGGACGACAACAGCAACAAGAGCGACATCAACTGCATCAGCAACAGCGTCAACGAGATGAGCGAGATGCCCGAGGCGCCGCGGCACCGGGACCGGCAGCCCCAGGACGTGGTCATTGCCATCGGCGAGACTTGCCACCTGCCACAGCAGACGTGACCGGCGCGACGTCCCGGCCAGGCGGGATGGAGCAGCGGGATGGAGCAGCAGGATGGAGAGCAGGAATGGAGCAGAGGGATGGAGCGGAGGGATGGAGCAGTGGAACACTGCAGCAGCCACCTTGCAGGACCGGGCAGTGAGAGGAAGGGATGGGCAGAGCCGGCACTGCGGAGCAAAGCCCTTCTCCCGCTGGCTTTGCCTCTAAGGACCTTGCTGGGGTGGGTGGCATTGCCCCTTCTCCCAGGCTTGTCAGCCCTGTCCTGACATCTGCCCGTGGGTTTGTGACCCCTTCTTTGTTCCCTGTGAATAGCAAAAAAGAAAAAGCAAATGCAAAATACACCCACCAAGCAAAGCTTGCAAGAGAAATGAGCTGGAGAGAAGCCGGGCGGTCCTTTGGCATGTGGCTGTCCAGTGGCATGGGAATGGGGTGGTGAAAAGGGCAAAGGAGACAAGGAGGCGACAGAGAAATGGGGGTATCTGTGTTTCTGGGGACAGGTCCAGGACACAGCAGGGAGCTGGGGACTGCAGAAAGACACAGAAAGGTCAGTAGGGGCCAAATCCAGACCTGTAGTTTGGTGACCTGCCTGGGTCATCACTCCTCTCCTTAGTTTTGCAGCTCCAGCTCACAGCCTATTTGCACAGCAGGTTCATCATTCCCTGGTCCCAGTGCCTCTTCCTGATGAAGATCCCTTTGCTCTCCACATCTTTCCTGAACTTAAAAAAAAGGTTATACTGATGGCCCGCAGACCTGACCCTGAGAAAAAGCAATAGTCCAGACTTCTGCCTCTGTACTCAGGGAGGCAAGCCCTGCCTTTCCAGGCACACCATGAATAGCAGGGGCTAGAACAGCTATTTTCCCCTTCTGAAAGTGGTTGAGGAAAATGGATGCGGTTTCAACCTCCTGCTCCAATGGCTTTAATGAGAGCCATTACCAGCAGTCCCACGCTGGGGCTTTGTCGGCTTTGCAGGATATTACCACAAACCTGCCCCCAGTAATTAACCATTTCCAATCAGACACAGCGTTGCTGCCACCACCATTTTCCTCCATTATTTTGGCCCTGGGTTTGTAGTGTGGCTGCTCTGGCACCCGCCAGCCATCTCCTATGGGGTTGTGAAGGGGAGCCAGGCAGCGATGCCCCGGCAGCACGTGAGGATGCTGGCGGGGTGATCCCATAACTGTCGGCCCTTGGGAGTGGAGCTTTCAACACCAGAGCTGGCTGTGGGCTGGGAAAACTGGGAAGGTCCAGATTTCTGGGGGACAGGAGGTTGTATGGGGAGGGGCTGGTTTTCTTGTTCCCCTGCCCTTTCAGCATCTGGGGGCTGGAGATCAGGGTTATCCAGGTGCCTCTGGCACTGCTCGGGAGGGACAGCGAGACCATGTCTCACACTGGCACTGCTCTCACAGGCACTGGTCCCTGCCAAGGGGACATGCCACTCACTGGGCACAACAGATCCCCCCTCCTGCTGCAGGAAACAGCCCCGGTGACTCATCTGCACTGTGGACACATCAACTGCTGGAAATAAGGTGGAGGCTTCCCTGAGGATGGAGGCAGCCACCTCCACTCCAGCCAGGCTCTTGGTCCCTTCCTGTGACACCTCGGGTCCCATGTGACACGGTTTGACCCTGAGGAGATGCTCCTGCACCAACCAGCAACCCACACCCAGGGCCAGCCTGGCTGATACCCACCCAAGGCCACCATCCTCCGAGCAGGAGCAGAAGGAAGGAGCCAAGCTCCCTCCTGTGGCCACCTGCACCGGGGTCCACCAGACTGCTCAATTCTGGGAAGGGGCTGGTGAGGAAGTACCCTCAGCCCACTCCCCTCAGCCTCTTGGAGCCAGCACCTGTCTTTTGAAGCCCCTCTTTTGCAGGGACGCAAGGAGGGATCCTGATATTGTGTCCATTTCCCAGACCAACCGAGCCCTGGGTAATGTTACAGCAGCATGCATGGCGAGGGGAACCACCAACCATCTCCCCGAGCCAAGGGATCACACCTGGTCAATGCCAGGAACCAGGCTGGCACCAGAGCTCCACATGATCCCATGGCTGTAGCTGCTTTTGTAACTGACCCCACTGGAACCTGCCACATGCCAGGGGAAAACTGACAGCAGTTTCCACACCACCTTCCTTCACATCCCCCCTCCCCGCATCTTTGCCATCATCACGATCATCTGGCACCTGCCTTCCCCCTGCCTGGTCCCCAAACATGTCACCAGACACAGCACTAGTGCTGAGCTCTGAGGATGACTGTAAGCCTGTCAGAGTCCCAACGCTGTGGAGCCATTTCGCCTCTGGACACTGGAGGCAGAGTGTGGCTTTTGGCTGAAAGCAACCCCTGTCCCTCCAAGAATTCAGTGTTTTTCTCTCCAGCCATCCACCCATGCAGCTGACTGCGTTTTGGAGGGCATCTCCAGTACCCTCAGAGGACCTCTGAAGCAGGGTGGCAGGACAGGACCAGGCAGATGAGTGAAGCTGTGAGGACGGGGAAGGGAGAGCTCCACGTTTTTCACTGGGGGCCAGTGCAAATGGTACAGCACCCTGATCTGCTCTTCTTGCCCAGCAGGACCCCCTCTCCAGGCTGGGCTGTCCCCCTCAGCCCTCTTCTTGTCCCCCACAATCTCCAAGAGGGTATGAAAGTCTGGTCATCCAACAGCAAGGGCCCAGGGAGAAGGTCCATGGGAAAACGTGCTGGGGGCTGCTTTGTCCAGGGGAGGTTTTTGGGGATGCTGAGGGAGGAGGGGGTCTGATGAATGTGCCAGGCTGTCCGTCTGCTCCAGTCCCTGCACCTCCTCAGTGCAGGAGGTTGCTCTTTAATTCCCTCTTTCCTCCCCTAAGCGCCTTAGGGAGCAGGGGCGAGAGATGCTGGTGCTTTTTATAGCAGCCATAATCCTCGCTGCTCATGCTGCCTGCACCCTCCTGCCCCGAGACCCAGGGCTGAGCCTTCAAAATGGGGGCTGCTGCCCAAAAAAATGCCTCAAACCCCTTCAGTTCCCAGCATCACCTCTCTCCCAGCTCAGAGATTCCAGCTGGGGCTGGCCCTGGACTCAAGACCCCTTTGCAGAAGGCAGTGGATGGCCACAAGTGCTGCAATCCCCTCCCAGTCTAAGCACTCTGATGAGGAGGGACAGGGAGACAGATGTACAAAGACACATGCATGAGCACCAGAGCAACTGCTTGGCCTCCCTTCTCTCCTCCAAAACTTGTGGAGCTGGAACCAACCCCATGGCACAGACACAAGAAAGTCCTCAAGAGCAAGAGGAGGTGGGAGGGCTGGGGGTTTCTTTCCTTTCTAATGCCCCCCGTCTTTACATATGGGAAACTGAGGCAGGGAGGGAGCAGGGAAGGGGCTTCTGGCCCTTCAGCTCAGGAGAAGAACCCTTTGCAAGGCAGCTGATGAGCTTTAAAGGCTGATGAAGCTCCACACTTGGATGTAACCCCCAAGACATGAGCTTCAGCATTTAATCGGGGTCATTTTGGTGCTGGGGTGGCTGATTTCCCTTACTCAGCCTGTGCCCACAAAGCCAAGGGTGGCATTTGGGCCATCCAGGCTTCATCCCTGGGGAAGAAGGGGACAGAGGAAAGGGATGTGAAATGGGGCAGCAGGAGGTTTAGTGGGGCAGGAGCAAGTCTTGAGAGAGGCATATTTCACTTCCTGTCCCTGTCCTGGCGGTCAGTGCTGTCCCTCCACCCAGCCCCAGCCCCTGTCACCACCCCAGGACCACAGCCATCAAGGGGGCACAGTGAGTGCTGCAGCTGCTGTGTTTCCATTGCCTTTTCTCTCTCCAGCAGCAGAGCTTTTTTCTCTCCAGCCAAAAGTCCCCCCAACTCTGCACGCTGCCAGGAGGAACCCAACACATCTCTTAACATTTTACTGTTTCTCTTTTACTGCCTACTGTTGAGTAGATTAAATTTTGTCTGCCCACCCACCCCAGACCACAGGGTCTTGCAGGAGAGGGCAGCCTGGCAAATCCTGCCTAAAACCATTCCAACCTTGCCCACACCACTTTGCCCTCCTGCAGGTTTGGCCCCTGTCTCCCACAGCCTCTTTGCAACACATTTGCTGTAATTTTCCCTTTAAACACCCCATGGGGGAAAAAAAACAACCCGGGGGGTTTCTTCTAGGTCAGGCTGAGCTAAGACAGGGAAAGAAGATTAATTTCTCAGACGAGCAATTCATATTTTTCTTCTGGTCCCCACAGAGTGCAGAGCTCCTGGTAGCAGGACCACACACATCTCTTGGGCCCACGCAACTTTTGGTGCCACTCCTGGACGTCCCCAGGTCCAATTCCTATGTGGGAGGTGTAGGGGCACTCTTGCCAAGTGATGGGTCACGTAAGCGGGAAGAAGGTGCCACATCGGAGATGCTGATGGGCCAGGGTGGGTGCCCAGCACCCAGAGAGGAGGAAGGGAAGAGCTGTGTCACCATTCCCTCCTGGCACCCTGGCTGGGCTGGAAGCAGGGTGCAGGCAGGGAATGAGGCCCTGAGCCTGTCCTTGTCACCCACCCATGCCCACACACCCATGAGGCCCTGAGCAGTCACGACTGTTTTTCACTCCCAAGGAGTGCCGGGAAGCTCTGAAGCCAGAGGATTAGTCTCCAAAGCAAAGGCCTGGCTTCCTGCCAGCCCCCAGCGGGGAACAAACAGCTTGGGAAGGCACTTCCCTAAGGCTCAGCTCATTCCTGGCTCAACCTCTGACTTTCTACCCTTGTTTGCCAGCCTTGCAGTCACTCAGCTGTGGATACCAAGAATCTCAGTAGGGGGTTTCCACAGGTGGGGAGGAGGCAGGAGGTTATCAGGAGACCCCCACCCGGTGCCTGAGCTGCCCTGGGCAGTCAGAGTATCCCCTGTGAGGTTCAGCAGAAGACAGGCACTGGGGGGATGTCTCTCCCTTCTCCTCTTTGCACAGAATTTCAAGGAAGTTCCCACCTCTGGAGACCTGTGATCCTGGGACTGTGGGAAGGAAAAGCTGGACACCGTCTGGAAACTCAGGACACAGGAGTCTTACACTGGGCTGACTTATCCCAGCACTAGGGAGTCCCAGGCACAGAATGGGGAGCGGGCTGGGCGAGGGGTGCTGGCAGGAGGAGAGCTGGGTGACAGGGACAGCTGGGTGCCATGTCCCAAAGGACTGGGACTGAATGTTGTCCTGGAGGTGCCTTTGGCATCATGAGAATCTCCCTAGGGATCTGGGGATCAACACTTCTCCACAACCAGCACCAACACTTCAGCCTTGGCCAGGAGACCATCCCCACTGCCGAAACAGGGCAGGCTGAGAGCAGGGCTTAGGGCAATACTAGCCCTTCCCAACCCATTTGTTGGCCTCTCCTGCCCCACACTGTCTGCAATGGGTCAGGCAGCACAAGCCCAGGGCTCTGCTCGCAGTGCTGCTCCCTGGCAAGGGTTACAGAGAACTGTGGGGTGCAGGGGACCTGGGCAGGGAACAGCACAAAGGTCAACAGGGAGCATCCATCTCCTGCTAAGAGGAGGGTAGAAGTGTTGGGATCCAGCCCCACAGGCTGTGCTTGCACCCACACATCCCCTGCAGCCATTCCCCATACCAGTGAGCCCATGGGGCTATGTGGGGCCACAGGGCTGCCAGACCAAAGGCAGAGGGGCCAAGAACCCTCTGACCAACGAGGGTTGTTTTGGCCACCACCCTTCCGTCCATGGGGACCCCGCTATTTTT